CCCCGCCCCCCAAACAAAAAACAAAAACCCCCCCCGGGAAAAAATTTTTAAGGTGGGTTTACACCGACACAAATTAAGACCGTGTCAACAAAACCCTTTAAAAACATTATTCAGACTATCTGGAACTCCCTACTGAAACTCTAGAACTGCAGACACATTACATTTCAGAACTACAGTTAGAAAACATCTTATCTCTGATCCACCCCGACAACTAACTACATGATAACCACCTGGTGGTTCACAATTACACTCACTCACCCACTGACTATAAACCAGAGAAATACTAATCTTAATCTTAAAATAATAAATCCTAACTAGTCATAAGTTTGCCTATGATACTCCAATATAGACACCTTGTATTGTGCCAAAACAAAAGCATTCACATTGCTAAACTCACAAATTATGATGTAGTTACTTAGCCTTAATACCATAATCTGTAAGGATTTAATGTTAAGAAATAATCTAAGTCTGCTCGAAATGCCTAGCCATGCTAGGTGTCCTAGTGGCCCCCTCTGTAATTAGTATTTTATAACATGTAAACCACACAATACCCAAAACCTGTAAACCCCACATTGTAACCCTTATAGAGAATAAACTTGAATTGAATTGAACCCTATCTATAAATATATTAAACAACCATGGTGACATTACACATCCCTGTCCTAAGACCTACTTTTACCGAGAAGTAGTCTCCCTCACTTCTTCACACCTAACCTAAAAAATGTATTACAGCCTCTCTCGTGTAGTGACTTACTCGTTTGCCGACAACTCGGACTTATGACGGGCTCTAACCAGTATGCATACCTAAATAATGTATATTAGACCTGATTTCCTCTGTTCTGTTTGTTACAATATACAGTACACTACTGTATAAACATTTAAAAATACACCAGAAATGTTATAAATGGTGCAAAGGTGACATTAAGACAATATCAAAGATGGTTGACACAAACCCACTACCATTATAATATGCTCCTCACTTAACGACGATTTCGTTTACCCGAGTGGTCTTAGGAATGGAACTCCGTCGTTAAGTGATGAGAGGCTGTACTTTGCACTTGTCAGTATTGCATCCTCTTCCATGTCCCCGACCACAGCACCATGTCAGCCATCTCCCTCTGAGGTAGGTTGAACAAAAAAAAAAGAAACACTTTCACCATCATTCAGACACAATCACTGTGTTTGCAGAGGCGCCCAAATACAACAGTTTAGAATTTTGTTGTTGTTTTTTTTTTCAACAAACCAGCCGTATCCCACCAAGGCAGGGTGGCCCAAAAAGAAAAACGAAAGTTTCTATTTTTAAATTTAGTAATTTATACAAGAGAAAGGTGTTACTAACCCCTTGCCCCTGGCATTTTAGTCGCCTCTTACAACACGCATGGCTTACGGAGGAAGAATTCTGTTCCACTTCCCCATGGAGATAAGAGGAAATAAACAAGAACAAGAACTAGAAAGAAAATAGCAGAAAACCCAGAGGAGTTGTGTATATAGTATAGGCTTGTACATGTATGTGTAGTGTGACCTAAGTGTAAGTGGTATCTTAGATGTCACCTATCTCAAGATAGATGATGAATATTAACTCAATTAATTTTAATACTAAATTCACTAACTATAATTCCAGATTCAAGGTATCATCAGTGCTGAGAGCTATGCCAGTGGTGAATGCTTTCATGAACAAATATCACAAATTAAAAGTGGAACCCAGGACGAAAGGCAATTGTCCAGACCAAAACCAAAACCAAAGCCTTTTCGTCTCCCTACACTAGGTCCTTCTCACAATTGGACTGCCATTAAAACCAAAGACATAGGTCCTTTGTTTGATCCTACAGGACCTGATGCCCTTGTCATGCCCAGACCGCCAAGTCACCATCAGGTACATATTTAATTTGTTGTTTACATTCATTAGGACATTTTCCCATTTACCTTTTTCTTCCATTCATGGTCTGGCTTTTGTCTTGCTGACACTGCCATCTCTTGATCTATATTCTCACCTGCCTACCAGTATTTGTACCAAACTTTTTAAGCTTCCTACAAGCTTACCTTCCCTGTACATCCTTTTCTCAAATAATTTCACTTAAGATTTTCCTATTTCTCTTTAATTTGCCAAAGTAGAACAGGAAAAAAATAGGACACCTCACTAACTTCAGAATATATATTGAGAAAGATAGTAAAAAGCAAGCTTAAAAATTAGAAAGGTCAAACTTGGATAAAACATTTCCACCATAAAACACATCATCTATCAAAGACCTCACTATGAAACACAGCCCCACACCTGTAACTTCTACAGTAGGCATCTACACCACCCCCTGCGGTTTCTGTCCCAAGAAATATGTAGGCAAGACAGGCAGAGATCTTGCGGTCCCCTGAACGAGCATCGAAGTGCCTGTAACAGAGATGATTTAAGGTAGCCTGTGTCCTCCACAGAGATTCCACGGGGCATTTGATGAACTGAATGAGGCACAACTCATTCTCACCGAACCAGACCTCAGACCCCGACGGTTGCCTAGAAGCCTCATAATCGCTCTCACCGACACAATAGAACATAAACACTGGAACCACAAAATTTCAAAAACATTAGCATAATGATATTAAGTAGGCTAAGCACCCCCAAAACTAAAACAAACAGGAGTCACATGATCTCATCGTTCTGCCCGTCCTCATCCCAAACATAAATTCTTCAGGTCACCATGCGTCACTCACACCTCACTCCCCCGCTATATATAATGTCTTTCTACCTCTGTATGTTAGAAGTGATATAGGTCCCAGGAGAAACGTTTTCTAATAAATATCCCATAATGTTTGCTTATGTCTTTCTAAACCAACTTGTCGGTATTTTATTGCCAAGGTTTATACCAAGCATGTATATACACACCCCTCGGGTTTTTTCTATTTTCTTTCTAGTTCTTGTTTATTTCCAATCTACATGGGGAAAGCGGAACAGAATTCTTCCTCTGTAAGCCATGCTGTTTAAGAGACGACTTAAATGCCGGGAGCAAGGAGCTAGTAACCCCTTCTCCTGTATATTACAGGGGAAACCCTCGTATGCAACCTTAATTCATTCCAGAAGGCTGCTTGAGTGCCGCCCCATTTGAGTATCGAACAAGTTCTTCCCACCAATTTTCTGTTTGGTTGGCTGTTATCACTAATCGTCGTGGGCTCCATGGTGACTTATTTATACAAATAATGCAAAAAAAACTCAAAAAATGCGAAGAGACATGAAATAGTTTACAGCGAAGTTCTGGCAAGTCGTATTTGTTTGGTCGAGTGCTGAGCTTTGCTTGAGGAGGGAGCTGGACGTATACTGAGGTTCCACTGTATTACTAAATTTAAGAGGAGAAACTTTTTGTTTTTCCCTTTTTAAAAGCACCTGCTTCAGTGGGGATATGGTGGTTTGTTGAAAGAAGAAAAAAAACAAATGAAGAGTAGAATAATCAGAGATAAAGATTGTTAGCAGAATGAAAATAATCCCGCTGCTAGTACTACATCACTTAAATAAAGAAATTAATTGGGTTTAAAAGGACATGCAAAAAATATTTGTATTGTGGTCAGTAAATAACCTATTTTTTTTTAGTGAAAGATCTACTAATCATAAGCGACCTTGCTACAGAATTATACTCTCTTTTTTTCAGAACTTTTTTTACTATTTTTTACCTTCCAGCATTGGATTAATGTGGGTATAACTAAAGGGAAGAACTAAGAGTCAAGGCTAAAGGTATTGCCACTTAGTAAGTATGTGGGTGACCGAAACCAAGTGTAAGCTTTCTGTTTGACTTAATGCATGTAAACCCAAATCAGAAAATTTACTTTATTCAATGTAGCGGGTCTTATTTTATAGTACAGTACATAATTATGATTTTCTACAACTTGGACATGTTTTGTTTATAGTGGACCTATAACAGTAGCGGAGCAAAAGTGGTGGACGTAGTAATAGATCCATACATCAGCGGACAGCTACGACCACACCAGCATGAAGGTGTCATCTTCTTGTATGAATGTGTCATGGATTAGGCTTCCTGGTAGCTTTGGAGAAATATTGCAGATGAAATGGGCCTTGGCAAGAACACTACAGTGCATTACTCTGGTGTGGACTCTTCTCAAGCAGGTAAATTATTACAAGAAATAAATAGTTTGTGAAATGAGGGTTAGATAAAAATGTCTGTAATGATATCTTTAACCTTTTTTAAAAGATTCATGATAGTGTTGCTGTATGATAATAATATTGTGGCTTTAACTAAATGCTATTTGGGTTTTAAACTTTTACTGCACTTTTCTTCAATATATTTTTAGCTCAACATATGTCTCCCACCAAGGCGGGGTGACCCAAGAGAAGAAAAACATTCACTATCACTGTCTTTCCAGAAGTGTACTGACCTCACATTGACATGCTTCTTCCTTCCCGCAGATTTTCCCCAAACATTTTTCCATATTTATTTGGATTTACCTCATCTTTCATGAATCCACATGAAAAATTTCTCACACAAGTATCTAAATAGGTAGTAGGTTGGTAGACAGCAACTGCCCAGGGAGGTACTACCATCCTGCCAAGTGAGTGTAAAATGGAATCCTGTAATTGTTTTGTATGATGGTAGGATTATTGGTGTCTTTTCTGACTCTTAAACATGCAAGATTTCAGGTACGTCTTGCTACTTCTACTTACACTTAGGTCACACTACACATACATATACAAGCATATATGTATACACCCCTCTGGGTTTTCTTCTATTTTCTTTCTAGCTCTTGTTTATTTCCTCTTATCTCCATGGGGAAGTGGAACAGAATTCTTCCTCCATAAGCCATGCGTGTTGTAAGAGGCGACTAAAATGCCGGGAGCAAGGGCCTAGTAACCCCTTTTGTATAAATTACTAAGTTTAAAAATAGAAACTTTCTTTTTCCCTTTTTTGGGGCCCCCCTGCCTTGGTGGGGGTACAGCTGGTTGTTGTAAAAAAAAAACTAAATACATATACCTCTCCACTTTCCTTTTTAATTTTTAAACCCCCATCCCCAATTTTTAAATTTAAAACTTTACATTCCTCCATTTACTTTTTTTCCAAAAACTTTACCAATTTTAAACCAAATTTTCACTCTTTGATTTTCCCGTACTCCTTCGGAAATTTAATCCCTTTCCGGTTTTCCCAAATCAAATTTAATTTTTAAAACTCCAACAACTCAATAAATTAAAAACCTTTGCCATTTTACCCCTTTTGTCCATGGCCGTAATTAAGCCCTGGAAACCCTTTAAACCCCCAAAAAGGGACGCACCCCGGGTTTTAAGTATGAGAAATAATTAAGTATTTGTTTGGTCCCCTAATGTGGCCAAAGATTTTAGACAGGGGGCAGTTGTACTCACTCTCCCATCCTTCACCCCCACCCCCTCATATATTTCCACCCCCAATCTTCCCTTTAATTTACTTTTAGTTTTTAATTCTAAAACTTTTAAAGTTTCCCTCTTCCTTTTGGTTTTTTTCAAACAACATACATTTAAAAAAATTTTATTTTTTTTACACCCCCTTATTAATTTTGCAAAAAAAAAACACCAAAAACAAATAAGGCTAACATTTCTTTAATCTCATTTTACTAAAAAAAAATTGTCTTAATCCCATTGTGCAATTGCCGCAAGAAGCTGGAGTTTCATCAAGCCCGTTTAGAAGAATGAAGGGGGGGCCCCTTTTAATTAAATTAAATTCTTCAAGTGGGAGGCATATTTAGGGGGAAATGAATTACTACTGTCAAGGGAAACTCGATCTACACATCATTGCTTTTTTGTCAGGGCCCCTATGGTGGACTTCCGGTAGTAAAGAACATTTTGATCGTCACTCCATCGGTCTCACGAGCATTTGGGGGAAAAGGAATTCAAAAAATGGCTGGGAAGAGAGAGAATTAAGTCTATGTTGTAAAATCAACCAACAAGGTAAAGTAACTTCGCAAATTAATTTGATATTTAATTATTTACTTTTGTTGACTCTTTCACTGTCCAAAGCCCTGAAAATTAAGTGCTGAGTGTCTACATTCTTTTTTTTAATTCTGAAATGGTAGGGGAATCTTTTTCTGGTGGTATGAAACCATAAGTACAAAATTTGATGGAAAACTTAAAGGGAAAGTTATGCAAGTGCAGAGTTAGTGTTCAGGGCACAATTCACACATTAGCAATTTTGCCCACTTTGAGACCCATTTTAAACCAATTCCATTGCAATATGTTGTTTCTCTTTTATACAGGTTGAAGACTTTGGCAAAGTACAGCATTCAGGAATTATGATTATATCATATGAAATGTTTGTACGTGGTGTTGATCTGATTAAAACACAAAATTTGATTCCTCCTCTGTGATGAGGGGCACCGCTTAAAAAATCCCAATATTAAAACTACATCTCTCCTTGCAAGTATTAATTGTAGAAGAAAAGTCATAATTTACAGGAAACTCCAGTTCAGAATGATCTGCAGGTAAGGGTTATTTTTTTAAGTGTATTACATTATGTATTGTAAAAAATAATGTAGCTACCTGCATTTTATAGAATTTTTGATGAATTTTGATCATTGCCTCTTTATCACTACCATGTACAGTGGACCCCGGTATTCGATAAAACCGGTAAATTTGATGCATTATTATTTGCAAAAAATTTTGCCCCGGTATCAGATCGAAAACCGGTATTCGATACGATTCGTAGAGACGTGTCCACTGTGGCCTGAACTGCCCCGTGTGTGCCCGTGTTTACAAGCCAGCAGTGTGCGCGCATCTAAGGATACATTCGGTACATTCCATATTATCCATATTATCACTGTTTTTTTGGGGCTTCTTTCTGCAAAAAAAGTCACCATGGGCCCAAGAAAGCTTCTAGTGCCAACCCTTCGAGAAAAAAGGCGCTAAAGGGGCTATTGAAATAAAGAAAGAGCTAATTCAAAGTACGGGAAAATGGAGTGCGTGTGTCGGAGTGGTCAGGTTGTATAATTTAAAACCCCCTCAACCATCTCTTTCTATAGTGACAGGAAAACGGTAATCAAGGAAGCTGTTCTTGCAAAAGGTGCAACTGTGATTACGAAACAGTGACTGCAAGTGTTAGAAAATGTTGAAAAGGGCTGTTATTGGTGTGGATAAAAGAAAACAGATTGCAGGGTAGATAGCAATCTCTCAAGCGATCATTTGGAAAAGGCTAGGCAGTTGCATGACGATTTAGTAAAGAAATTGCCTGCAACTAGTGCTGATTTTGAGTGAATTTAAGGCGCAAGCAAAGGTTGGTTTGAAAGATTTAAGAATCGTAGTGAATACACAGTGTGGTAAGGCATGGTGAGGGGTGCCAGTTCAGACCAAAAGCAGCTGAAAAAATATGTGAAGGAATTCAAGGATTTAAAATAGACAGTGAAGACTTGAACCCGAACAAGTGTTTAATTGCGATGAAACAGGCCTGTTTTGGAAGAAAATGCCCAAACAGACCCACATTACTCAGGAGGAAAAGGGAAATCCAGGACATAAGCCTATGAAAGACAGGCTTTACTCTGTTTAAAGTGTCCAATGCTAGTGGGGATTGCAAAAATGAAGCCTTTATTATTGTATCACCTGAA